ATGTGATGGTTTCGAGGACCCGTCCGAAGGCTTTTTGTTTGAGAGTGTCCCCAGCAAAACGATTACTGTAAAACATGCGTATTCAAGCGACCATGTGTCTCCCAACCATCTCGATTACTGCAACCTCTTTGAAATCATCCAAGAGCGCTCCGAACAAGTGTCTCAGAGCAGCTCTTTTTGCACACCATTTTGTGCGAGGCTGCCTCCAGTCAAACGGCCATAGATTTGAAGTTCCAAGGATCAGGCCAGCGATCTCGACCCAGAAGCTCGAACCTCGAAACCGTCAAGGATGGCAGGAGGCCTGCTTCAAAATTGGTCTCTCGCCCTGGCGCCGCGCCTGGTCGCCCTGAAAGTCTGAGACGACTCGAACACGACGGGGAGAACGAACGGACAGGTTTCAAGATGGGGCTCGGCTTCTGCATCCGTAGCAGCCTCAAGGATACAGGGCGGTTCCCCCCTTCAAAGCAGGGCCCTCGCCTAGGCGCCGCGCCCGGTCGCCCTGAAAGCTTGAGACGACTCGAACACGACGGGGAGAATGAGCGGACAGGTCTCAAGGTGGGGCTCGGCCTCTGCGTCCGTAGCCGCTTCAAGGGTACAGGGCGGTGTCCCCCTTCAGAAGCAGGGCCCTCGCCCTGGCGCCGTGCACGCTCGCCTTCAGCAGGCGCACCTCTCACCAAGGTGGTGCGCGAGTCGTTCTCAGAGCGGGGCTCCAGCCTGAACGCCGCGCACATCTCGTCTCGAGCACGTGCAACAATCGGAAGGATGGAAGGCGGTCGTTTCCCCCAAAAAGGTGCGCTCGCTCGAGAATTTCTTCTCTGAAGCGGGAACGTCGGCACGTGTAGCGCTGCACTGGTCCAGGGCGGCCCGTTCTCAGAGTGGAGCCCTCGCTTGACACGTTGGCTAGATTTGTGACCACGAGCTGATGCAGCAGCTGCACGGGTGCGGTTCCTTTTCGGAAAAACGGTATCGGCGGACATCTCGCTGACTATTACGATTACTAGCTGCTGATTGCGCGCCAGGCGGATGCAAGGCGGTTCCTTTCAAGCACAAAGGGGGCCTCGCCGAAGTGGCACGCCCGTGCGGCGCTGGTCTTTCAAGGGGAGCGCTTGTTGTGGTGAACAGGCGAGCCTGTCGAAACGTATGAAGCGGGCATTTGGGACGGGAGGGCGTTTGGCAGCATCGCTGATGCATCTTGGGCTTGCTGAGAAACTGAAGCGCGGCGCCCTGCGGCCAGCCTAGCGCTTCCATGCCGCCAGGCACTTCCGCCGCGAAGACGCGCAGGGCGTCGCCGTCCGGGGCAAGGATCGCCTCCACGAGGGGAGGGGAAAGAAGATGAGGAGGAACAGGAGGAGGAGGAGGACGAGGAGGAGAAAGAGAAATAATAAGAGGAGGACGAGGAGGAGGAGAAAGAGGAGGAGGAGGAGGAGGAGGAGGAGGAGGAGGAGGAGGACGAGAAAGAGGAGGAGGAGGAGGAGACGGAGAAGAAAAAAAAGGAGAGGCGAGGAGGGAGGAGGAAAGGGGAGGGGGGGAGGGAGGATACCGATCCCGATGCAGCCCACTGGGTCCTGGTCAGCTCTACCACCCTTCGATGATCGAGCTGACTCCAATTCTGAGCTCTGCAGGGGTCCACTGGCTGGCGCACTCGGCAAAGAGGCCACACCGCCCCCATCACCAGCGCCACTCTTCGGAACCCTGGGGGCCAGCCAGGGGACCAGGGCCGCGGGCTCCCCCCCCAGACCCCTGGCACGCTCCTGCCTGGCGAAACCACCGCCGGCGCTTCTCGCTCCGACACCGAGGCCTCCCCCCAGGAATTCCCCCCAACAGACTGTGGCAGGCGACCCGTCGAACGCTGAGTGTAAGGTGCAGAGGGAGGAAAGAGGGAGGAGGAAAGGGAGGAGAAGAAGGACGAGCTGGCACTGAGGATGACTGGGCACCATCTCCAGGGAGCTCAAAGGTGTTAGAGACATGGCGCCTCGCGGAAGCTCGTGGGGTCCCACACTCTGGAGAAGGAGGGGCGGAACATTCGAGGACTGTCCCCTGCCCCGTACCTCTACCAGAGCCTCGAGGCTGCGCGCGCGGAGGCCGACGCACGCCCAGCTCCCTTTCCCCCCCCCGCCCTCCCCGCAACAGCAGCAGCAAAACTCCCCCCCGCTCGCTCGCTCATGGCTGCAGGACGCCGTCGACGTGCATTTGGAGTCCCGAAACGGTGCGGTGACAGACCGTGCGGTGACCTCGGAAACCCAAGAGACCTCACCGCACGGTCCGTCACCGCACGGTTTTGGGACACTGGAGGCCCCTGTCGCCCGAGGCGTCCTCGGAGAGGGACTCGAGCCCCAAAACCGTGCGGTGACCCCGAACCCCCACCGACTCGCCGCACGGTGTGGTCATCCACCCCGTTTGGGGGCCCCCGAGTGCAGCCACCTGTCCTGCCCCCCCCACCTCGGCTGAGTGCCTGGGGTGGATGGGGGGGGTGCACTCGCTCCCACCCCCCTTTCCCGCCCCCCCCAATGCGAGCGCAGCCCCACTTCGACACTGCCTCGGACCGGCGAGGCGCGTCTCTCGCTCTCCACGGGGCCGCGAAGGGGGGGCGGCCTCCCGCCTGCCTCGCCCTGCTGCCGTGGCGGCCTGCGACGATCTGCTCGTGCAGCTGCGTGGGCTTCGTGCCCACCCCGGCCCCTCGTGCCGCGGAGATCCAGACGCGCGGTCGGGCGGCTCGCTGGTCGAGATGCTGCTCTCCCCAGAACTCCTCGATCGCTGCTTGTGGCTGGCTCCTCCCGCGATCCCCGAACGCCCGTGGCGCGCCGCGAGCGCGCGGGATTTGGAACGCGCGGGGGTCCGCGGCCGTCCGAGGCGACCTCCCCCCCCGTTTGCCTCGGCCTTTTTCAGCCCGGGGCTCTCGGCGGTGTACTCCGTGCATGCCGCCTCTACAGTCGGGGCGTTGACCCAAGGAACCCTGAATAAGGAACGAGGCCCCTTTTTCCCATCAGTGAAAGTTCGATTTTCCATCGAAAACCCAAGGAAAACCTGAGGCAAGCTGCGAAACAATCGAGGAACACGGAGCCCCTCCCCAACGAAAAGGGCTCCTTCTTCAGGGCCCCGACTGTAGCGCCGCGCCGACACCCGCTTCCCCGCCCTTGCGACCTATCTCGAGGGTGGCGCCTCTTGTCCCGCGCGCCTCCGCCCCCGCTGCTGGCCCGGGCCAGGCGCGCAAGAACGAGAGCCGACTCCCACGAAGCTGCCCCTTCTCCTCTCGATGCCGCCGCCGCCTCGGGCCGGAGAGCTTCCTCGCCCGTGCCCCCCCCCCTTCTGCCGAGGCGGGCCCCCCTCCTTCAGCTCCGCGGGTAGCTGCTCGAGCGGCATGGGCGCCGCAACTGGGAGCAGCGGGGGGCGATTCAAAGTGGATGCCTGACACTATGTTTACCAAGATCTCCTGCGTCCTCAGCTTCATCGGGGCACGCGGGGCACGCCGGCGCATCTGGGTCGCGAAGGGGGCGGAATGTCCCGCTGCTTGTTGCGGGGCAGACTCCAGTTCCCCGGCCGCGCTCTAGGCGTCTCGAAGCCGCAGCGCGCGTTCGAAATATTATGCAGCGCACAAGACAATGACTAGCACGCGTTCGTGCATGCGCAAGTGCACGCACGTGATTGCACGCGCGCTCGTGGTTGAGCAGCTGGGCCTCGGGCGCGAAACGCATGCCGCGCGCCCCCCCGCCCACCCCCCCCTTGGCCCGCGCGCGCGCGCCCGCGGCTCGAGATCATCGGGAACGGCAGGGGGAACGAAACCTGGAGGGGAACCTGTACTCGCAGAGCTTGGCCTCAAATCTCTGCGAAATCCAATCGGGCAAAGTCCCCCGCCCCCTCCCTTTCCGCGAGCCTAGCTGGCATTTCCGCCAGCGGAGGCAAGACCGACTGCTCATCCACCAGTTCACGAGCGCGGGCGAAGTCCAACTGCGCGCTTGGCCCACGGCGAAACACATTCGCGGGGCGCAAATCATGGCCGGCGGCATGTGCGCGGCCCAGGGGCGGCCGGGGGCTTTTTTGAGATAAGAAGAGGCGCCATGAAATCTGGGGAGATATCGTGGCCCCCGCCATGATATCCACCCCCAGTCTTAGGTCGGGCATGTCCCCCTACAGGCGGATCCTGGACGAAACATAGAGAATAGTCAACGCATGTCCCAAAACAGTCAAACATGGTCGAGAAATGGTCCCCAGGCTATGCTCTGACTATATTCTTGAATCCTCCTCCTGCAGAGGAGCATGCCCGACTTAACCCTAGTCGTCGTCCCCCTCTTGGCCGCCCCCGAGCCCGCCGGCGGCGGCCAGCCCCGAACGCCGCCGCCGTGCCAGCGCGGCGCGACCCCGCCGCGCGACGCTGCCCCACGCCCAGAGCCGCAAGGCCGGCCTCCTCTTCGGCGCTGCGCGCCGCGCCGGAGGCGGCCCAGCAGCCTCGCCTCCCCGCCGCACGCGCCCCTCCACGAGCGGCCGCAGAGCGGGAGGAGGAGGAGGAGGAGGAGGAGGAGGAGGAGGAGAGGAGGAGGAGGAGAGGGGAGGAGGAGACTCGAGGAGGAGGAGGAGGAGGAGGAGGCGGAGGAGGAGGAGGAGGATGAGGAGGAGGAGGAGGAGGTCTCGGGTGGATGCTCCAGGTCTCTCAAATGCGCGTGGGGGTGGATCGCGTGGGGTTTAGGAAGCCGCTGTCCTCCGGAGGGCGTGGGAGGCTGGGGAGCGAGATGGGGGTGGGTTTGGGGCGGGTTGTGGGGGCGGGCAAGGGGCGTCGGGCAGGTTGACACGGTGTGTGTGTGTGTGTGTGTGTGTGTGCGTATTGAAGGATCTGGAGTAGGGGAGCGAAGAATGGCATAGACATAAAAGCTCGGAGGTCCGCGCGGACTTCTCGGATCCGCGCTGGTGGCGCGCTCCGCGCGCCAGGGAGGAGGGTCCAGCGCGCATCCGAGAAATCCGCGCGGACCTCCGAGCTTTCATGCTGATGCCGTTCTTCGCTCCCCTGGCGGATGCCGTGGCCTCCGAGACCCTGGACGCCCCTCGCCCTCGGCGCGGGGGCCTTCGGGGGGCCAGGCGCGCGGCTGCCCCGACCTGCGACCTCTCGGCCTCCGGCTTCCGGACTTGCGCCCGCCACGGGCCGGGGGGGGTGGCAGCCGGGCAGCCCCGCCGCGCCGCTTCGCCACCTCTGTCGGCCCACGCCGCGGCTGCGCGCGGCCTCGCTCGGGCGCAGCTGTTCGCTGCTCACGCCGCGGCCACGCGCTGCTTCATGCAGGCTTCGGGGTCGTGCTGCACGTACATGTAGTCGTCCTTGCCAGCGCTCAGGATCTTGCCAGATGACTCGTAGCCGAACTCGCGCAGGATCTTGTGCATCAGCTCCACGTGGTTCAGCGCAGAGTTCTCCAGCTGCAGCCAGCAAGGTGGTGCCTCTCGCAGGAGACGACGCGCGCCCTTGAGGACAGGGAACTCGTGCCCTTCTACATCGATCTTCGCCCCAACCTCAGGGAGCACTAAAAAGGGTAACGCCTAAACGGGGTAACAGACCCACCAAGGGATCCAGGCGGAAAAACTGCAACGACCAGAACAAACAAATCCACTGCATTTCTGTGCAACGTTAAAAAAACTGCACTGCAATTTGTTGGCAACTTGTTGCGGAAACATTGCAAACAAGCCCCAGAGACCGGGTAACAGAGGTCCCAAAACAAAAAGTTGCAGTGCAGCAGCCGAAAATGTGCAACGCAGCCAGCATGTGGAAGGTGCTGCATCGAACGCGAAATCAAAAACAAAAACTGCACTGCAACAAAAGGGCCATTTGATGCCTCGCACCGGCCGTCTCCTGTTGCCCCGTCTGCTGTCACCCCGTCTGCCCGGCTCCCTGACAACCAGCGCCCGCATCGTGGCCGGGAAGGCCCCGAGGATGGCATCGAGCGTCGTCAGGTTCACTGACTCGTTGCCCTCGCTGCGGCGCGGCAGGCGGGCCACCTCGCTCATGCCGGAGTTGCGCGGGTGCCTGCCGAGGTCAGAAGAGCAGACCACGCACAAACTCTCGGAGCTCCGCGCGGACGTCCTGGGTCGGTGGCAGAGGCCCCTCCCGAGGAGGAGGAGGAGGAGGAGGAGGAGGAGGAGGAGGAGGAGGACGAGGAGGAGGAGGAGGAGGAGGAGGAGGAGGAGGAGGAGGAGGAGGAGGAGGAGGATCCCCAGCGCCGCCCACGGCCCACGGCGCGCTCCGCAGGGACGGGCGCGCGGGCAGGGCGCCCGGCGCCGACCGCAGACATCGGCGCGGGCCTCCGAGCGGCTGTGCTCGTGCCGCGCTCGGCTCTCCAGATGTAGACCCTGCTGGGCTCGTCGGGAGACCCGGCAGCGAAGGGGAATATGTCGACGTTGCGGAGCCCGTTCAGGCGCACGCTCGCCTCGAGGAGGCGGCGGTTCCTTCGCCGAGGGCGCCGAGGCGGCACCGGCAGATCCGTTTCGGAGGTCCGCGCAGACTTCTCGGGTCTGCGCTGGGCCCTGGGCGCGCCAGCGGCGGCGCCAGGGGGTGTCCAGCGCCGATCAAGGAAATTCGCGAGGACCTTCAAAAGCTCATGCTTGTGCCATCTGTTTGTTCTTCGACTCCTGGGATCCATCTCTATCGTCAGCAGCCTGCTTGACTCGGGCTGGACGATAGAAGGGGGTCGTGAGGGGGACTATGAAAGGGGGGACGTATCAGCTGACGTAGTTGCGGAGCTGGTTTCCCCAACTCCTCCTGGCGCCGGAGGCGACAGTGCACCGAAGAAAGCACCCGTCGGCGGACCGGAACTGGCTGCACGCATCAGATTTCGAGCCCCCCCCCTTTCCCACCCAGCCCCCTTCGTCCGACCCGAGTGGCGCAAAGGACGTGGACTCTGAGGTACAGTGGAGGCCAATCCACAAGAAACCTTCGACAAGAAACCCAACCCTGAATCCCCAGGACGTCCATGGATTTTTGGCGTGGGAACGTCACGCTTTCCATCGCAAAAAACCATCGAAACCCAAGACACCCAGGGCACCCTGGAGGCAAGCAGGGTACGTCTTGGCGTGGGCCTCCACTGCAGACGGGGCCTGCACCCTAGGTGCACACCCCCGGGGCCAGCTCTTCATCCCCATGATTATAGCCGCCCTCGGGCGGCTCCGAGGCCCGAGGAGGGCCCAAAGGGGAGAGCCCGAGCGCGGCGAACCACAAAAAGTTATCCTGGCGAGAGACCCAACCATACACCCTGCGAAATGCTTTAGAAATCATGGGTTAAGAAATTCACAGTCTCAGAACTTGAATAAAAACCCAGAACTTCTATCAAAATCTTGGGATTTACATTGAAAAGTTAAGAATAATCGAGACTCTGGACGAAAACTTAGGTTTTCTTAAGCATCGCCTAAGGTGTATGCAGTTGTGGGCACCGCAATTGTGAATATCTTCCTCGGTGGAGCTCCCTGTGGGGTCACGAAGCGCTGCACCGGGTGGGGGGGAACACATGCAGACGGTAGCACTCGGACCGTCGGTGGAGCTCCCTATGGGGCCACGATCGCTGTACTGGGTGGGAGCGACGCATGCGGGCGGTAGCACCAGGGCCATCAGTGGAGCTCCATATGGGGCCACAAAGCGCTGCACTGGGTGGGGGGGGCGCATGCGGGCGGTAGCACCAGGGCCATCAGTGGAGCTCCCTATGGGGCCACGAAGCGCTGCACTGGGTGGTGGGGGGGGCGCATGCGGGCGGTAGCGCTGGGACCTTCGGTGGAGCTCCCTATGGGGCCCCGGAGCGCTGTCCTGGGTGGGGGGGACGCATGCGGGCGGTAGCACTCGCGCCGTCGGCGGAGCTCCCTATGGGGCCCCGGAGCGCTGTCCTGGGTGGGGGGGACACAGGCGGGCGGTAGCACTCGCGCCGTCGGTGGAACTCCCCATGGGGCCACGAAGGGGGACGCATGCGGGCGGTAGACCTGGAACCTTCGGTGGGGCTCCCTATGTTGCCACGAAGCGCTGCACTGGGTGGGGGGGACGCATGCGGGCGGTAGCACTGGGGCCTTCGGTGGGGCTCCCTATAGGGCCACGAAACGTGTGAGGGGTGCACCGAAATTGGTGTGGGGGACGCATGCGGGCGATGGCACTGGGACCTTTGGTGGAGTTATCTTTGCGGCCACGAAGCGTGTGAGGGGTGTGGCGAAATTGATGTGTGGGACGCATGCGGGCGATAGCAGTGGGGCCTTCGGTGGAGCTCAGTATGGGGCCACGAAACGTGCGAGGGGTGTGCCAAATTGGGTGTGGGGGACGCATGCGGGCGGTCCCACTGGGGGCTTCGGTGGAGCTCCCTATGAGGCCACGGAACGCTATACTGGGTGGGTGACAATGCCAAATTAGGCATGTGGGACGTATGCGGGCGGTTGCACTGTGAAATTTGGTGGGGTTCCCGATGGGGCCACGAAATGTTGTACTGGGTGGGTGATGGGCGCGCTGGGCGCATGCGGGCGGTCCCACTGGGGGCTTCGGTGGAGCTCCCTATTGGGAGCGCTGTATTGGGTAGGTGAAAATGCCACATTGGGTTTGCGGGACGCACGCGGACGGTCCCACTGCGGGCTTCGGTGGAGCTCCCTGTGGGGCCACGAAGCGCTGTAATGTGTGGGTGAATCTGCCAAATTGGGTTTTCGGGACGCTTGCGGGCGGTGGTACTGGGGCCTTCGGTGGAGCTCCCTATGGGGCCACGAAGCGCCGTACTGGGTAGGTGAAAATGCAAAATTTGGTTTCCGGGACGCATGAGGACGGTCCCACTGGGGGCTTCGGTCCAGCTCCTTATGGGGCCACGAAACGTTGTACTGGGTGGGTGAAAATGCCAAATTGGGTTTTCGGGACGCATGCGGACGGTCCCACTGGGACTGTCGGTGGAGCTCCCTGTGGGGCCACGAAACGCTGTACTGTGTGCGCGGGACGCATGCGGACGGTAGCACTGGGACCTTCGGTGGGGATCCCTATGGGGGCCACGAAGTGTTGTACTGGGTGTGCGGGACGCATGCGGACGGTAACACTGGGACTTTCGGTGGGGCTCCCCATGGGGCCACGAAACGTTGTACTGGGTGGGTGAAACGCAGGGAGGAGGGAGGGGGGCCACGAAACGCTGTACCGGGCGTGTGGGACGCATGCGGACGGTAGCACTGGGACCTTCGGTGAGGCTCCCTATGGGGCCACGAAACGCTGTACTGGGTGGGTGAAACGCAAGGAGGAGGGAGGAGGGGGAGGAGGGGGAGGAGGAGGAGGAAGAGGAGAACGCGGGGCGCTGTCTCTTCAAAACGAGGACCCAACAGCACAGGGTGGTTGCGAAATCTTCAGAAAATCGGCCCCATACTATTTGTTGTGCTCCTCCTGTGGAGGAACAGGCCCGACTTAACGATACATGCCCCCGAGGGCCGAAACATTGAGGAGCCGCCCGCCGGCTGCGGAGCGCACGCCGCCAGAGTTTTGGGCCCATCCGCCTCCCGACCGCCTGCCCCGGGGGTAGTTTCTTCGTCCTGGGTCCGTCCTCGACGGTCCTGAGGCCCGACAAGTGCCCCCAAGGGCCAAAACATCGAGGAGCCGCCTGGCGGCTGCGGAGCGCACGCCGCCAGAGCTCCACAGCAGGGGCCCGACCGCAAGAAACCTTCCACGAGAAACCCAACCCTGAGACCCCAGGGCGTCCATCGACTCTTGGTGTGGGAACGCCACGCCCTCTTCCATCGCAGGACCATCGAGACCCAAGACACCCAGGGCACCCTGGCCGGAGGCGCGCACGGTGCTTCTTGGCATGGGCCTCCACTGTAGGCCCCTCCGCCGCGGGCCTGCGCGCGGGCCCCGCCGCGAGGCCCCCCGGGGCGCCGCGGAGGGCCGGGGCGCCCCCGCCCGCGCCGCCCTGCGGGGCGGGCGCGCTGCAGCGCCCGCCCAGCAGGCAGCAGGCCAGCGGCACGGCGTAGGTGCCGATGTTCCCGCCGACCTCCGGGCGGCACCTCGTCCTCCTCCTCCTCCTCCTCCTCCTCCTCCTCCTCCTCCTCCTCCTCCTCCTCCTCCTCCCCCCTCCCCCTCCTCCTCCTCCTCCCTCGCTCCTCCTCCTCCTCCTCCTCCTCCTCCTCCTCCTCGCACGTAGCTGGCGCAACCTCCTTCTCCTCCTCCTCCTTCCCTTCTTCCTTCTCTTCCTCCTCCCCTTCCTCCCCCTCCTCCCTCCTTCTCCTCCCCATCCGCCGTCCCGGCTCAGGCTTTGGGAGCTGCTACCAGGTAGCGGCAAGCCTAAGCAGGGACGGCTGCCATACGCGTCGGCCCGACACCCAACGCCAGCACATCACAGCTAGAGTACGGACCGACCGTGACACATACAAACGGCGACAACAGCAAGAACGTACGAGCCAGCATGGTACAGGCTCAGGCGCAGCGCCAGAGCCCAGGCGAGAATACTGGTTAGAGTCGCAGCAGTAGCAGACCTCTTGCAGAGGCATCACAGCACAGTGCGTCATCACAAGTACTCGTCGCACAGGTCTTAAGGGTGGCATAGCAGATCAACATATTGGGAGGGCTAGATTCGTAGCAGGTGGAACCCGCCAACATCAGCCTCTTGCAAATTCTGCGGGGTACCACCCGGTCAGAAGCAGACGAAAGCGTTATGTTGTTCCCGTCCTACTTAAGGACCACATCCCAGACAAAAAATTCGAGCACCCGGAAAAGTGTCAAAAGAGTGTCGCAAGAGTGTCGAAACAGTGTCGGGCGAGTGTCTCCCAGGGCCCGGCACGTGAAAGCCCTCGAGCTTCGGCACTTTTGAGGGCGCTCGACATTCCTCCTGGTGATCAAGGCCAAAGCAGGTTGGAGCATCATAACGAAAGCGGAGATCGAAGAGGAAGGAGTACCACGTGAGGACCCGCGGCCATGGAGAGAGGTGTCACGCCCGAGGCGGTGGCACGGGCCCGGCCAGCAGCAGCGGCAACCGCAAGACCGGCATCCTTCCTCGGAGAACTCACGTGCCAGATCCCAGGCGCCGGCTTGGAAGAAGCAGCCTGACACGAAAGAGCCACTCATGATGGGCGCAGCAGGGCCATATGTTGCCGAGTCTCATAGACCGTGGGTCCCGATGCCGAAGGAAGCGTCAGACTTGCACGAGCGCCGCCTTCATTTGAAAAAGCGGTTGGATGCGATCGAGAAGCAGTTCAGTCGGGTATGATCTCGGTCACAAGAGAGCCGGACTCGCAGAATTGGAGACGGATTTCGCGGCCACCATGTACCACGTCATGTTTGCAAGGCCGCCAAGAAGAAAGGATTGCCCATCAAGCTCAGTACGTGGAAAGATTGCAGAAAAGGCTCAACTATCAAGACTAAAGGGGATGCCAAACCACATCATCAATAATGCCAGACGCAGACGGCCCATGTTCGCCAAGAGCTGGCAAAGAGCCATGGTCTTGCAGGGTCATTTCGAAGTTCTGGCGACAAACGAGCAGGTCAGAGAAGAGCAGGGCAGGATGTGGATGATGACATGCTGGGCGAGCCGCAGGTTCGACCAGTCAAGAAGAGAGCAGCAGACCCCAACTCTCACGCACCAACGGCTCCGCCCGTGAGCCCAGTTAGCACAGCGGACACCACGCAGAACGCCACGTTGCCGGCAACGCTCGCCGCGATGCAGGCGAACAACAACAGCAACAACAACAACAGCAACAACAAAACAACAACAAACAACAAAACAACAAAACAACAAAATAACAACAACGACGACGACGACGACAACAACAACAACAACACCAACAACAACAACAACAACAGCAACAACAACAGCAACAACACCAACAACAACAACAACACCAAAAACAACAACCACAACAACACCAACAACAACGACAACAACACCAACAACAACAGCAACAAACAACAGCAGCAACAACAACAACATGTTCACCCAGCTCATGAAGCTGGCGGA